TGAGGGATACTTGCTATTGCATGAAGCGGATTAAAGTGGGATAAGTAGCACTGCATACTAGGGAGCTAGTGCAGTCATGCGTTTTGCGCAGTTCTGTCCAGCGGACGTTTGCCTGCTAAAAATATAACTGTCTTACAATTTCGTGTGTGGAAAAACAGTCGATATGCTGCCTGGCTCCTAAGCTGAGGAATTTCCCAGTGAAAAATTCCACGTGCTATACATGAAAGCTGAATTGGAACCTTGGTGGGGGAACATCCTCCCAAATTCCAACCTTCCGATTTTCTGGCTTCCAAGCTAATGACTTTTGCATCAAAACTCTTACGTGTTCGCACGCAAGATCTCGGCATAGTTGGAAGCTAAATTTCAGCTGAGGTATTTACTCAGGCAGAAAATATCCTCCTGAAATTTCAGCGTCATAGCCTTTCTGGATACTGAGATAACAATTTTCCTCACCAGAACAATCGCGGGGCCACACAAGAGATCCAGGCGTACATAAAAGCTGAATTTGATTCTGCGAGGTCGCACTCTCCCAAAATTTTAACTCCCTATCTTTCATGGCTTCGAGATATAATTTTCCCCTCGGGAAATTTGACAGGGGCGTAATTGAGACCCAGGCTTAACTGAAAACTGATTTTGAATTTACAGAGTTTCACATTGGTAGAAACATTGTCGTTATGTTTCAGCTTCCTGGCTTTCATGGTTCCCGAGATAATTTCCCCGCCGAAATTTTCATGGGGCCACACGCGATAGCCAAGCGCACGGGAAAGCAGAATTTAAATTTTCTAGATTGCATATGTGAGCACGGAACATACACATAGAATTTGAGTTTTTTAGCTTCCGTGGTATCGAGATGATAATTTTCCCTGCAAAACTTTCACTGAGCCGTACGTGTTACCCGCGGCACAGGAAGGCTGCATTGAATTTGCCGGGTCACACATGGACAAGGAATACTCCACCAAAATTTCAGCGGCCTAGCTTTTGCTGTTTCCGGGTTGAACGATTGGGGCAGTTGCAATCGGACACACACGTACACACACACGCACACACATACACACACATAGACAAACAAATACACAGTGAACCCTGTGATACAATGTGCGTTTTGTGCTGCTGTTATACTCAAAATGCACAAAATAGTAAGAAGAATACAACAAATGACAGATAAATAAAACCCTAAGTCTGAGACCCATCAGGCTTGCCAGCTCGATTAAGTATTTATATACGTTGAAGTTGAAGCAATCAGGTTGTTAATTGTATGAATTGTATACTTTACACTTACATGTGCTCTCACCAGCGTAAATCATCGTAAATTTTGCATAAAGGAACAATTTCCGCTCAGCTGTTGTTCTTAGATAATGACCCAACTGTTCAGAGAGCACCTTCTCACAAAACTTTTAATTGCCGGTACGAGAGGGTCACGCGAGACGGAGGCTGAATTTGAAATCTTTAAGTTGTATTTAAGCACAGAACATTCCGTTAAGATTACAGCTGGAAAGCTGTAATTTTGGAAAGCTGAAAGCTGAAAGCTGGAAAGCTGAAAATTAGAAAATGGAAAGTCCCTTTAAAATTAACGGGATGTTCTGTGCTCAAGTAGAACTTGCGTGAAGGTCGATATCACATTTCTGGGTCACACTTGGTCAGAGAACACACTGGAAAAATTCCAGCTCAAAGCTTGTCTAGTTGCTGAGCAGAAATTCCCAGATGGACAGATTTACACACCTGCATACGCGTGCACACACACTATGGATCGTCACAGTGTGCGCTTTTGCTGCCTGATGCTGCATTAGCAAAAACGCATAAAAACTCAAAAATGGGAATTACAGAAGCCTAGCTCGGCTCGGCAGGCGGACGATCGGTGTTTGAAAACGTTCCAGCATTACTGCCAACGCTATTTCGAGCAATTACATAACTGGCTCGGTTCGGCCAGGCTAGTTATGTAACTGCTCGAAATAGCGTGACAGTAATGCTAGGGTGTTCTCGAAAAATGTGCGGCCGAATTTTCCCGATCCCGTTGCCCCACTTTCACAAGAGACCCTGAAGCCGTGGATGGTG